TTACATACTGCTTCTTCAGGAAGGTACAGCAAAGCAGCTCTCAAAAACAGAGGAACATCCCTTTTTTTTTTGCTGTCTGCTGCAGAACATGAACTGTTGTTTTTATCTGTGAGCGCTCATCATTATTTTAATTTCCATTTAAATTTGATAAAATCCGCTGATTCAAGCTAACAGCAAACTCATCCTGTAAGTTTCCCTTGCTTGCACAACAGAGGAGGTTTGCTACTCCAGAGTCTGATTTTAACCATTTAAAAACAAAACACCACGAAACAACTCTTCGACCCTTAAAAAAAAAAAAAAAACAACCCTTCCTGGAATCGTTCAATGTTTAAGGATCAACGAGGCTTAGGAGGAAGCTCGGAGCTGGTGTAGCTCCCTTCAGGACATAATGAAAGCTCAAGGCAGCACCCACTGTCCACAACTGATCTGGTTTAGTGAAACAAGTCCCCAGCACGCTGCAGGAGGCGGCACAAGGCACTCGGCACGTTTCAGTTAGGGGTGACACCTATGTGACAGCAGGAAACAAATGGGTAGACAGGAAGGAAACAGAGGGAAAAGCAAGGGAACCAGCTTTTCTGCGAGCAGAGCGGGAGATGCGAGTCTTCAGCAGAGATGTAAATATGAAAAATAGATACGTATTTCTAGGACAAAAGCGGAGAGGTGTGAAGGGTAACAAGAAACAGTAAGGGAAGAAGTAAAAAGCTGCAGAACGGCAGACAGACCCAAGCAGATGAATGCGAGCAAAAAACGTAGCAGGCAGCTTCTGGCATTGTGGAATAAAACAATTATTTTAATTGATCTCCACTGTACATCTGACATTAGACTCTAAGGGGCCCAACAGTGGTTACAGCAGACTAGCAGACCCCTTCAGGAGCTGCAGCTGACAGCAATTGCACTGAAGCGGGTGAAGTCATCCTCTTCAACAAAGCAGTGATTGCTGACCTGTCCAAATCCAACCTGTTACCTTCTGATTCGCTGACAACAGGGAGCGACGCTCAACATGTATCGTGGTTTTGTCCTCTCCTAGTGAGAGGAGTCGTTCTGCCCCCTCCCCACTCTGTAAGGTAACTTACTTCAGCAGCTCCAGGGTTTTGTGATCCAAGGCTAATCTGGGATTTCCAGTCAGGTCCAGCTCTTGCAGTTTTGGAGGCAGGTTTTCAGGCAATGTGACTTCACTCAGTTCGTTGCAGCTTAGGTCCACGCACTGCAAAAGGAAAGCAGCCAAATAAGCAAGAGAATTCAGCTGTCACCAGCATCATACACATTTTAATTAAATGCAGTAATGCATGTTTCATGAACCATAAAGGCTGCAAGCAGGACCTAAGACTATTCATTTAATTAAGTGGTTCTTACAACAGAAATTCATGTGGCACTCAGCCATCTCACCAGATGTCTGGGACACCTAGAAATATGTTCTCTTCATTTCCATCCCTGGCCGGGTACCATCTTGTTACAAAAGTAGTAAGTTTTGTCTGCTCTTCACAGAGGCAGAGATGGTCAGTATGTGTTCAGGTTTTTAAGAAGAAGGGTTACTGATGAAATGAGTCTTTTAATAGATAAAAGAAATGGCGAGAAATACAGCTGGGGCTTCTAAGCCACTGGCATAGCAGTCCCTCCTCTGAAGTGAGTTTAAACCAGCGTGAGTATAAGCAGGCTCTCAGGAGTTCAATATTTCCTCAGGGATATTAAAATAAGCAGGGTTATGAATGCATGTGGAGGGAAGGAGGAGTAGAGGTGGAAAGAAAAGAAATATTGGAGCAGGAAAAAAAACATTGGAGCAGTTTTATGCATGGTTTTAATTCGTGTCATCTTAGATGGATTAATATTTAAATACAAAGTCAATAAAATGAGTGAGAAAAACTAAAGCTTAACTATTTCAGAAAAGATATGAGACAAAACAGCAGAGAAACTGGCTGGCTGTTCAGCAGCTAAGCACAAATTACTACAACAAGTACAGCAAAAGGGTAAAATCCCCAAACACACATTGTTTAAAGCTGCATATCCAGATGAAAGTCAAGACACAGGGAAAAACATGACACTTGGGAACAAAACCAAGTCTCCAAACCCTATAACAGGACCTCCAGTATAGTATACACCAAAAGTTAAAAAAAAAAAAGAGAGACCAGAGCAGGCTGGTCTTTAATAGAGGATAAAAGAACTATCCACATGTTTCAGAAAGACCATTTTCTACTGTCAACCTGCAAAACCAGAGAGATTTCAAAACCCAAAATAAACCAGGAAGCTGAAAGGGGCGGGGGAAGGCTTTTCCTAGCTGCACACTTTGACCATTACATTGTTTCCATTGACACAAACAAGACACTTTCATTTTTGTAGGTATATTCAAAGGAACGGGGTTGTGATCTGGAGGGCTGCGTAAGATAACCCAGTAAAATCTGGAAAAGAAAAATCTCCTAACTTTTCGTTAAATACACGCAATGGAAATAACGGATTTCCAATCCAGGTCTTGTATCCTGAGGTTGTCCAATACGGAGGCCTTATTATCTATGAAGAACAAATTGCTGACGTTATCTGAGCCCAATAAGGAAATCAGGGTTTGAATCTGTCACGCAAACAAAGTGGTAGACAGCTTAACAGTTATTCCAGTGAGATTTTCTTTTCCCCTCTGTGCAACTCCTTGCTGCTTCCAGAGAGCCGGTAATTACTCTGTGGATTAAAGAAGCTGCCAGCAGGCCTTGCTGTGCGCAACACCTCAATGCCGTTACGAATGTGATGGAAGGGCGTGCAGGAATAACGAGTACAAAAATTGGTAAAGTAACATCATGGTTCACATGAAACGCCCAAGACGCCAGAGGCAGCAAGACTGTACAGCAGATCCCTTGGTCCCTAGGCACTGGTGAGGACAGCTTATTTATCAGGTTAGGGTTTCTTAGATTTCATGTGTACCGTTTGAAGCTTAGGCTAAGAGGGCCTTTCTGCATATCTGTGTTCAATTTAGCCCTTATTCTACTCCCCAGGCAAGCAGAAAGCATAGTTCCTAACCAATCCCGATTTCCTCACGCATTATTTTAATGCAAGCTGGTTTAGCTGCAACCACACAGCACCAGAAGGACGACTCCTGCAACTGCACATAGGATTTTGCACTGGACGGGCCAGCTGGAAGAGAGCGGTCAATATTCAGGGATTTACACCTTTAACTGCTTTGTTCAAGGCTGGAAGGGTCTCGAGCGATCTCCAGTTGCGACTGAAGGTGGCCGTACTGACACCAACCTATTTAACTAGGAGAAAAACTACCAAAAGATGGAGAGTTTCACCTTTCAAGATGCTACCGCTACTGGATCTTCACTTGTTTCAGATCTCAAGGTAATGCTCCTGTGAAAAATAAGCTTGACCGAAAACCGCCACACAAAACCTCCGTATCACCCTCCCCCCAGCAGCTCAGCAAGACATCCCCGAAAGAGCAGCAACCCATCAGTCAACAAAAACTGGATGATAAAGACAGGTCTCAGGAGGGAAAGCAAGCCTGAGTCGCTGAGCTCTGCTCCAGCAGTAAGGATTACCCAACGGTTTGCCTGCGAAAGAACACCAGGATGCTGAGTAACAATTTAAAAAGCACCCTTTTTATTCTGTAAGGCAAGGAAATTGAAGTCAAACAGCAGCTGTAAGGAAGAGTCTGCTGGGGCACTGACTCGAGTGTGTGCGTTTCTAGCTGCTCAGCCATTTGCAGAAGGCATGTCAGTGTGCACAGATAAACCTAACTCTGACAGTATAAATAACTGTCTTAAAATACAGTAAAACCCCTAAAAAATGTATAAGGTATCTCAGAGACATCCACCAGGCTCTTTAACACAGAGGACAAGATGTAGCTTCTGTTGCCTTGACTGCAGCGTGTGTAAAACAGGCTTAGAGACAACTGTCACTACAATGACCTTGTGTTTGGAAATCCTGGAGTTACTGCAAGTGTAAAAGCATCATCACTTAGACTAGCTGTCCTTCCGAAATTATTGCAGACAGCGTAGTAACTGCTGCTACTAACTGTTCAGTATCAGTGACTCCAAAAACCTAACGTGTCAACCGCTGAGGCTAATTAAACGCAAAAGCGAACCAGCCGTTACCCCAGGTAATGGGGTTTCCCAAGAAGTTTAGTGTGTTTGAACGCCACCTCACTTCAAATTAACCGTCAAATATGATACTGTCGCAGGGGTGACAGGAGACTACACAGCTCTGCGCTTTGCTACACGCAAGCTTACCTCACCGAAGGAGCACATCCATACTTCAGCAATAAATTCTGAGCTTCCTTTGGCACGTTTCGAATGCTCTCACGTACCTAAGCAGCGGCTCTGGTTAAGCTACGTAGCGGCAGCGCAAGCCTGACCTCCAAACTGACTAATGCCGACCCTGACCTAGAGAAATCACCAAGGGGCCCGGAGAACCCCTAAGCCCAACAAGGCCCCTTCCCATCTGGCAGCTGTATGAACTCATCTCACGTAAAGCAAAACCAGGCTCGAGCACCGACCCAGCATTCTCCTTCCGCAAAGGCGGAGTCCTGGAGCACTGTGTCCTCTTAGATAAGTCACGCACGCTACCCCTGCAGTCCCAAACCAGCTAGTGACGTCCGTGCCTCTTTCTTCTGCGAAAGAGAACCGAGTAACTGTAGGGAACCAGCAGGAAGAAACTGCCAGGTATTCCAAGAGCTTTTTTCTGCTAAGTGTTGCGGCAGTGTAGCACTTTAAACACTGACGCTTCTAGAAAGCATTCAGCTTTCCCCCAAAAGAAGCAAACAAAAGGAAAGAGTTGATTGTTCCCCGTTGGCTTGTTTAGATTACAGTTTGGGGTTTTTTTTTTGGTTCACACCACCTTCGTATTTTTAAAGAAATGTTTACTGTGCAGAGCCTCGCTCCCCCACCCCAATTCTTCCTCTAAGTAAAAAAAAGGCTTTGCTTCTGATTGATTGTAAATGGCCCTCCGCTTCCTCTGGCCATTGTTCCAAAGAGGGAGGAGTATTCCAAAAGCCACAAGTTTGTTTGAGATTTCCTGGCTAAAACCACAAAGCTCATCTTTACATGTACTCGCTGTCCAAGGGAATTATTGCTCCTGCTGCTTTGCCTGACCCCGGACACGGAGGCACACACCGCAATCTGGGAACTTAGCCTTTTGACTTCACAGAGCAACCGAAGGACAGTTCGGTTGTTCTGAGGCCGTGAATAGGTAATGCGTTCTCAGCCTCGGCAGATTCTGCCACCTCTCGCAAGGCCTGTACACGCTGCGAGTTAGGTTCTCAGCCTCGGCAGATTTTTCTGCCGCCTCTCACAAGGCCTGTACACGCTGCGAGTTAACCGCCTCCCGGCTCTGGCCGGCGGAAACGGCACGCAGCGTGAAACATTCTGCACCACAGCCAGGCGAGGAGTAGGAACTGGGTTCACAAAAGGTAAGCCAGCAGTGCTCTTCGGCGCGGGTCACGCAAAGAATGCGCGCCTCACAGAAGAAGTGTCAGGAGAAGTACAGAATTACTTCTGGAAACACATGCAAGAAACGGATTAAGCATTCCTCTGGTTGTGCAAAATATGCCTGCAATTAGGGAAATTAAAGTAGCTCACCTAAATACTCAAATCCTGGGCTCCTGGAATTTATCTCTGTCCCCAAGGCCTATCCTATTCTGCAGCTTCAAGGGTTTTTAACATGTGCTCTAAACAAAGTCCATTCCTACACAATCAACCGAATGCCAAGGCAGCAAGAGTTAATTACGCATAGCTCTTGCCAAATGTTTAAGTCATACCACAACAGACTGTCACAGGAAGACAATTAACACTTATTTGGCAGAGAAGATAGGATCTAGAGAAGGTGAGCACAAAAAAAATCACACTTTGAGGCTCCTCTTCCATTCCACTCGGAGGCAGCACAGGGGTGAATATTTTACGTATGACCTCAGAGGAGAAAGCAGCTGTCAGATCTCCATAATTCCTAAGAATACACTATCCCGTAGCAACGAGAGACCTGAGGGAAGAAAAGAATTGGTGAAGTCACATTATACTTGCTTCTTCCAAAGCACCTTCATTCCTTACCTTTATTTCAGAGAGCTGCATGACTTCTGGGAAGACTTCGATGCAGTTGGAGTGAGCGATTACAGTGTGCATGCGTCTGCAGTTCATGATGGTTGTTGGAATGGCTTTCAGTTTGTTCCCACTAATATCAATTTCCTCCAATTCTTCCAGCTTGGCCATTTTGCTACGAAAAGAAGAGTTTGAGAATTTTCCTTTTAATGGACACCTATATTTTATTTTGAAGTGGTGATTAGGAACTGTGGTTTTCATTATTTTAAGAAAATTAAACCGCAGACTTTGAACCTTGTTCACAGCAGTGCCCATCACCTCTCCTCACACGTCAGACGCCAGCACAGGTGTGGAACAAAACGGGTGCTGCTTCTGTCGATGTTTTGTTAATGCTGCTCTTCAAATGACTTACTTTACTTACACTCTCCCTGCTCACCAGCACGCTTCCCCTCATTTTCCTCCCTTCTTCCCCTTTCTTTCAACCCTAGTTTCTCACTTCATCCCAAAATTTTTCCCTCCGACTTCCAGCGTCCCACTCAGCCCTTTCCCCCCTGATTCATCGCCCTCCCCCTTGCTGTTGAAGCCCAGCTGCTCAGCACATCACACAAGGACAGAGATGTCTCTTTATTTATTGCCATCCCTTTTCCAAGGTTGTACCCCGTCAGCCTTACGGCACGTCTTACACTTGAAAGACTTCCGATTAAAACAGAGCCAATTGAAAGTACAGAAATCGCTGCCAAGGCAGAATTTCCTTCTGGAACGAGAGGATTTTTCTCTAGCGGAGTTTAGTCCACTTGCAGAGAACATTTCCAGACTGCTATGCTCACAAGTCTCTTGTAAGGAGACGCCCACCAGGCGCAAGACAAGTGACCAGGCCAGGGAAAACCAAAGACCTCCTTGCTTGACTCCAAAAGCCAACTGCGGTCACGCTGAATTCGTCCCGTCCAAGAGAGCTGAGCGCAATCAAAACGCACCGACTGAGAGGTGGCACCCACTCCTCTGCGCAACCCAAGAGCGTAGCAACGTGCACTAGGGCGCAGCAGGTGAATCCGCCCTCTGCAGCTATCGCTACGTGCAAAATACAGCCCGTGCCACCACCTTTCTGCGCGATTCTGTTCTGGCCGCGACAGCCTTTCGCGACGCCCACCCGCCAGCGGGCCAGAGACAGTGAAACCAGTTACTCACCTCGCAGGGAAGCTCTGCAGGCGATTGTAAGCCATGTGTAGGATTTTTAGGCGCGGATGGCCCGTTAGCAAGGGAACGCATTTGTCTGTGAGGTTGTTATTGGTCAAATACAATTCCTGCAAGACGCTATGGGTTTCTTCCGACAAAGTGGCTGGAGGAAGCGTTTCCAGTTTGTTGGCAGAGGCATTAAGAAATCTCAGGCTGCAAAGAGAAGTTGCATAAAGGAGTTCAGTGAAACGTCCTGCAGGTTTTCTCTAGAAGTATAAGTAAAACCTCTGGTTTTAAGAGTTAAGACAGTTATAAAGCAAAGGTCAAAAGCACTAAGCTGACAACAATGGATAGAAAGACCAAAATTCTAGCACTGTACAAGCAAAACTTCTGATCACATTTTTAAATGAACGCATTTGTACGAACAAAACAGCAGCAAAATCAGTATGTCACAACGTCTCTATCCCCTTACCAAGGATTCGGTATCTCCAACATTACTACAGTTGTCCCGAAGTGTTGAGAGCAATAGCAAACCACATCATTTCCATATTCATTCCATATAAAAACGAATTCTGAATTCATCATCAACGAACCATGAGAGAGTACGTCTGCCCTTCAGGTGACTAAAAGGCGGCGTTGGTGAAAAAGCCAGCCAATTTTTTAGTATTTTAAATACCAGCTATGGTACAGACAAGTGTTTTGCTTAAACCTGCAGGCCGCAACGCAACTATAAAATATGAAAAAGTACTCTCTTGAATATTTGGATAACTAGAAATGCACCAATCACAAACAAATCGCGAGACCAAGCAGTAATTTGCCTTTTAGATTTTAAAGATACACAGCACTAAAAGTAAATTGAGTTTAAAAAGTGATACACTTGCTTGCTGATGTGTGCAGCAAGACAGCCAGATCTCTACGTAGTTTCTGAGTGCAGTTCTTCTACTCCCCAAAGTAGCAAAAGGCCCTGTCGGGATTTTCTGCTGTCCCACCCCAAGCAGCAAGGACTGAAGAAGCACAGAAATGAAGTTATTCTTCCTTGCTCCGAGACCTTTTTTCCAGATGTGAACGACCTGTTGAGGTACAGGGACTGCCCACTCCTGCCCGTCAAGTTCTGCGGGCAAAGGATTCCTATTTCTTTAGGGGAAGTGGGGATGGCAGCAGCACTGGAGGCACACACACTGGAGGCATCTTGAGGGCTACAATTCACACAAGCAATTCCAAAGAAATTGGGAAATAAGGCTGTTTATCCTTTAGTAACCAACTCTGGCATGACCATGCCTTTTCAACAGCAATAAAACCTCTCTTCCTTCCTCCCCTTTTCAGAAAAGGCTGCCTTAGAGAACGGTGTGCATGCCTGCCAGTCTGCAGTGACCGCGCTCAAACCAGGCTGCCCTGCTCCCACCGACTAACGGGAACGGGCAGCCGCCACGGGCAAAGCTGCCTTTAAGAAACAAGATTCAGAAACGAGCTGGCAGGAGCCTGTAAAGCCACTGATCGGGACACAAAAGGGTGGGTGCGCTCCTGTCATCGATCCTAAGAGAAAGTGATAAAATATTGATGGCTTCTCCTACGCCCGCAGGAATCCACGCTGACCTTTAAGGTCTATTAATGAATGAAACGGATTTGCAAGAGTTGCAGCTGGTTGAAACTTGCTCAGCAGCAAATAAGGGTCAGACATGCTACAGAGGAATCACGTGGAATGCCAAAGGATTAAAAAAAAAAAAACAACCACCCAACTCTGTTTCATTAGAAGCAAAAATCTCTCAGCACTGCACAGAACTGAAACTAGGTTAGCTGTTTTACACAGGCAGAGGAGTCCACTTTGGAGAAACACAGCCTTAATCCTCAGGCTCATTCATTATTCACAAGGGTGGTAAAACTCCAAAGGAGGAAGGGAAGAGAAGGAGGATTAAAACAGAGAAGGGAATGAGCAGCTAAAAGGGATTTTAAAATTATTTATTTATTCTAAAAAGATGCTGCTCAATTTCACCCTTCAGCTATAAACCAAAAATATATTGAGCTCTTTCAAAGCTGGATTATTAAACTGATGCATCAACCACATCAATGGGTCCTGTGCTTAATTAACACCGCCAACCACGCCTATTGCTACAGCACAGGCAACTATTACTTTAAGCAACTTCAATCTAATATGCATCTAATATGTCTTCTCTCTCCACAAAAAAGGCACTTTGATTAACATCGATATCTTTTGCAACACTTCTAGTACAAAACGGTTGTCCTCAGCTCAGCCTGGAAAGGCTTAAGTAATAATAAAATTTAAGGGCTGCTGGGAGAAGTGAACTTTTACAGGAACACGATGAGGAGGTGACAGTAAGACACCCCCCCAAAAAGGGAGGTATGCCTGAAGAGGAACCTGTATTTTACTTTTACTAGCAGAATAGCAGCAGAATAACCTGGAGTGTTGCCCAGGTACCTTTCTTTCAATAACCCAAGCCAAACGGATAACCTAGAGAGCATCCTATGGTTGTGAAGTTCAGAAGAACATAAGGTTGCTCAAGTACAGGTACCCCAAAACACAGCTGAAAGCTTCGAGTGAGAAAAGGTACATTGTTCCAGTAAAGCTGAAATTAACCCAGGCTACTACACTGAAGACATTTTTAAATTCAAAAGAGAAATGAAACAAACAAAAGCTATTTTAAATAGACTTTTTCAAGCTGGTAAAATACCTCACTGGTATTACAAGTGTCTGGAATCTGTTTATTCCTGCCAAAAGTAAGTTTTGATGCATATATTTTCCAATGAGAAAGGGAGAGAGAACAGCTGTCACTCTGTATCCCTCCCAGCCTTTTCCCAAACTTCCGGAGAGTGATACGACAACGCTGAAAAGAAATCCCCATCATCCTAACCTACAGTTTAGTGCCTCAGTGTGAAGAAGGTTGAGGTGGCTAGCAACACCCCGCTGACAGTCTAGAACAGGAACCCCGTGGCAGGAGGCTGCCTCACCTACCCCACACGCAACAACTGATGGCTGGGTAGCACTCCACAGTCGGGTTCAGGACAGTCACATACTCATCTCTCTCTGTAGCTGACACCACCAGAACTCAATTAACGTTTTAGAAATGACTATGCTGCTTATTTACATGTTCCTTTTGACCAGCTGTTACATTAAAATGGTAAAAACATTCTCAAACGATAATTCTTTCGAGATATTCTCTGGATTTAAAAATGAGACACCATTCTTCGGGCAGAGAACAGAATGGACCAGCAGATTGCTACTCTCAAAGCTTTGTCAATTCTGTGCTATAATCTTATGACCAAAAAGAAAAATTCTGTACTTGCCCATCAGCTTTTCCCTCACCCTGATTTAACGCAGAAGTCCTTCTCCAGGTTATTTCCACTCCCCTGTTTCTTCCTCCTCGTGCAACGCACCAGCTGCTACCTTAGAGGGCACCATCTTACAAATGCCCTCCAGAGGAGTGGAAATTTACTCCGGCACAACTGTTCCCATCTCTCTTGTGCATAGACTTTAAACTGATTCATGTTCCTTGAAGATATCCCACTCATATTGCTTATCAGATGGAAGCAGAATGTCAAGTATTAAAGCTCAGTCCAAAATTAATTGTTTCCCTTTCCAATTCCACCCACACACTATACCGCAAGCTCATGGAAAAAAAAAAAAAGCACAGCATCACTACAAAAACCTGAATTCAGCAGCCTGCGCACATACCAGAGCGTAATACAGCGAGGAGAGCATGAATTAACAAGTACTAAAAGAGTGTCGGAGATTAAGGAAGAAACGAAGGCGCTGGCAGGGAGATGCCAAAATTCTTCAGCTTTGACAAGGTGCAAATTCTCCTCTGGGGTAATAATATAAACATCGATCTCCAGCTGGAAGAAGTCACCTGCGGTTTTATGGGGTATTCAAGTATGACCCCTTGCTGGATTTAACGTCTCCAAGAGACAAACAGAAAAAAGAGAGTCTGTCCCAAAGGTTAGGCTAGAATCAAGGACATGGATCTAATTCAACAAACCAGACCTAATATGCAGTCACATGCATTCCCTATTTAATCCCAGAGGATTCTGATCTCAATTCAAACTTCCAAAAGCAGAGGAAGAAATCCTTTCAATGAAAACGGTTCGACATTTTTTAACACCAAGGACTACCTCTAGCACACACGCAAGCTGACAACAGACAGCTGTGAGAATACGGCACCTCCCAGTTCCTCACCGTTTTCCGATGTAGCTTGACAAACTTGGCTGGCTGGGAACAGCCACCATGGAAAAAAGACCTAAGTCCTCCAAAAAGCTTAGGAACGTTCAACATTAAAAGGAGCAACACAGCCAACTGCATTCAATGGTGAAGCAGCAGCAAATCAAAACCACTACGCTTAGCTTGACAACACTGATAGGAGTTGGAAAGCATACTGCAGCTGCAAAAAGAGAACATGCCGAGGAACCAAGATCGCCGGTGTGGCCTGTGCCCCAAGATCTCCATCAGCACAGGGCAATCAAAATACCAAATTTCTTTCTGGTCCCTTCTGCAGAGTCACGCCCTCAATTTCTGATCGCCTAATCCTAAAATAATTCATGATTGCGGTAGCAGGTGTGTGAGGAAGAATCCTGTAAGCTAAGCATGCCGAGGGGGGGGGGGGGAACAAAATACATGAGAGTCGAGCCTGGGGGGGGGGGGGGGAAATCAATGCAGTTTTGCCAGCCCATGCAAAAGAGGATATTTCTGTTCCTTAAAAAGAATAAAAATTAATGCAAGGACGGAAACATTCAAGTGAATCCCCTGCCTGCTGATGGACTGCCAAAACTTAACTGCTGCTGTCTCCCCAGCTCTTACTTTCCAACCTATCTTTAGCTGTTTCATTAAGTGGGATTTCCCCAGTTTCTAATCTATCTGCTTGCAAACTCTAACCCCTACCAGCAAAGAAACAAAACGCAGCCAAGCATTTCTCCAGCAAAAAGTACGCCCATCCAACGCCCAAACAGCTCTTTGCATTCATTTGAATTTGTTTCCTCTTCCCTCGCTTCTGCATCCATGATGGGATTGAATACTTGCATCGAAAAGAAGCAGCCACAGTGGGTAGAAATGGCAAATATCAAACAAGAGAAAGTTTAACTGGGTCACCTTCTAGAACTACAGCAAAAAAAAAAATCCCAAAACCCCAAGAAACCCACACAAAACCCAACAAATCAAATCAAAACAAAGAAAACCAAACCAGGTAGGAACAGCTGAAGAAAGCTGGAAACAAGAATCATTCAGATGAGAGCCTAGACAGCTCCGAATAGCTGACACTGGCTTAGCCACAGCGAAACAAAGCCCAGGCTTTAAGCCGGGCACATCACAGCTACACATCTTCACCACACATCTGCTTTAAGTAGTCCAAGGTCTGTTTCAAGGGTTTATACCGACAACATTCATACCAACGGGGAAGGAAGCTTACGCAAACCCTCACCCTTCACCATGTCTCCGTTTTTAAAATGCCCTGACCACTGCCACTGCTTTTCTACCATGCTCCGCTAAAGCTCTTGAACGCTTGCCCATCTCATCCGAAGGGCATTTTCTAAGAGGCATTTCATGCCATGAATCAATACTTTGCTGCATGCTGGTCAAAGAAGGCAGCAGAAGTCTGTACTAGAACCGGACAGAGTGGGAAAGGCATCACAACAGATGAAGCAGTGGATAAGAAAGGAAAGGCTGCAGGAATGGCACAAGAAGAGCTTCAGGACTCAGCCTGGAGTTTTCCCCAGCATCCATAGCAAGAGTTCTCTGTTTTTGCAGCATCTGGTAATGAGAAACGAAGAGATTATCTGGCTGCCTCTGTGACGCTCATCTTGCCAAGAAAAACCCCACCCTACAAGAGAAATCCTTGCTAACATGATCAAGATGTGCATACTTTCAGTGCAATAACAGAACCAAGCTCTGTCTTGGTCAGAGAAATGTTTCATAGGCTAGTCCTCTATCTCTCTTCGAGTAAGTTTGAAACAGAAAATTAATCAAAAAGCAGACCAACAAAATACCCATAAATTATACTCTTCAGCACAGCATGACACCTTTTCATTCGTTTTTGAAGGATCAAGGCAGAAACGCAATGTTTACTGGTTCTTCTACAAAGAGGAGAGAGGTTTTCCAGTATTTTTTCCTGTTTTTGGTAAAAGCGATACTCTCTTCGTGCACCAATGCACTGATTTCCCTCCCTTCCCCAGATGTTCCCTCCCTTCCCCAGATGTTCCAGATGTCAAAGCCCACCAGCGCTTGTGCTGAAGTCCGCCCAAGGCACTTCACACCCTCTTCGTCAAATATTCACGTTGGAGAAGGAGAAAGCGTTATCCTTCACAGCATGAAACCTCATATCCAGACAAGGTATCACCTGTCAGTTGCACAGACCCGAGTATCTTTCCAAAAACAAACATAAACTCATCTTTTCAAGGCTGCAAAAGGTAAATCATTTTATGGAGAGAAAAAGGTTCTGTAAGGTGAAGTGATTTGTCCAACATTACAAGCTGGGTAGAGACCATGGCACCTCGCTCGGGAAACCCAGTTCTTTTGGCACGTCTGGCAGTACAGATTGTGCTTCCCAGGGAACGCTTGGAGAAGAGAAGCATTTTACCTTTTTCCAACCAAACCCAACCCTGAACACCTTTCCCTGGCCCAGACCCATTTCTGCTGATGCTTAGCCGGTGACAGATGCAAACATTTGACAACAAAATAGAAAAAAGAAAAAAGGATGTTTCCTGCAGGAAATTCCAAACTTAAAACTTGGACATTATGCACAAATCTGCACTGCTCTTTTCCTTCGCAGTTATCACTTCCGCAGCAGTCACAGGAGCACCACCGCGGACAAGCAAGCGAGTTACCTAAGCCAGTAAAGGGGTAGGGAACAAGGGGGGAAACCCCGCCCAAGCAAACCGCTTCTATAGGATCATCGCAAGTGAGGGAGGCTGCAGCGGCGATGAGGTGCCAGAATGCGGAAGCTCTGTTCGCCTCCTGCGATGGTACACGGCTTTGTTCATACCTGCAGAAAACACGTACCCTGCACTGCTCAAAAGCTGCAGGGAGGGAAAAATACCCAAGCCTGAATTGGCCATTTAATCCTGTTAATCACCATATTTTTTTATTCTACCCCTTCTCAGCGCACTTTCAGGAAACTTCTGAAAATCTGCCCTCAGTTCTGGTTTTAGCCTCTACTTGCTCATGTTGGTATCACAAAAAACCATAATAAAAAGCTGTCCACGGCTTTGGAGCTTGCTTTAAAAAGATGAGCTGCAGTACAAAAAAATTTATTCAGGCTCTCTCTCGCTGTCAAAATTGCATTAATCTACATCCTAGACCTACAACCTGGTTTTAATACAAATTTTACAAAATTATTTCTCTCTCCTTTCAAAGATTCTAGTACTTTTCTGGATCTTCCTTAAAGGTTTCTTTCATTTCCAAATTAACAGATAGCAATTTCAACTTGCGACCTGTAAATAGGATTTTTTTTTTTACTGACCCAATTTTGCAACTTCCTGTAAAAAAGCTTTTTTACAAGGTTTCATTCCTGAAGTTCACACAATCTCTAGCGTACCATTGGTTGAAAAGTCATCCACAAGACAATTAGCAACTGCTGGGGTGAAACATCCTTGGTGCATGAACAGGCTGTGCATTTCTCCACCTTTAAACAGAAATCTGCCAGATAATCGCAATTATTACAGTAGCAACTTTGCCAATTGTCGATGTTCGACTGCACTTTTATGTAAACTCTCAAGTGAAACAGTCGAGACATCAGCGTAACTTGGCTGATAAGCAGTTTGTTCCGAAGGTGGTACCCTACACAGGCTTGAATGTGGACAGGTGTGTGTGTGTTGTCCAAAAAAAACGCAAAACAAAACAGCACAACAAATAACCAAAACCCCAAAAAACACCCCCCAAAAAAAAAACAACAACACCCCAATCCAAAGTACAAGAATTGTTTTAAAGGTTTTTTTAAAGCAAATCAAGGCTGAAATGTCATACTGGTCCCTAGGACCAAAACCCTGTCCTAGTGAAATTCACCTTTCAAAATATAATTTTAACCTAAAGGATGAATTCCTCAGAACATGACTATTCAAGAATAAGTCAAGAGTTTATTTAGAAAACACTCAATCACCAACGCAATTCTCTAACTTCCAATGCTGTGAATCCCTGGAAATTTAACCACGGCTTCATGACAGAATGAACGATGATCTAAAACAGGGGTTTCGCAATACAGTCAGTCGGGTGGGGAGCTGTGACAGTGAGAACACCACTACTCTTGCTTCTCCACCTCTCAAGAAACCCAGGAGCCGTGCGTTCCTTCGGTCACAGCTAGGATCGGAAGTAAAACCCCACAGCACACAATCTCTGTTACATGACGCATGGCTTGAGCCCACAGAAATCCCATGACTGTACGTGGAAGTGCAGAGGTGCAAGGAACCCTGACACCAAGTGGGGCAAACCCATCCACCATCCCCAGGTTGGTTACGCTACCAACCTCCCACATTTCAATCACAGCCGCCTTGCAGGACATGCTGATACCCAGGAGGAAAGATAATCAAAACTCCGAGATTAAAGAAACAGCAGCATAAAAATAAGAATCCAGAGAGCAGATCAAGTGGTGACACCAGCTAAATTAGTGACAAACATTTGAAAAGCATAAAAAAAAAAAATTCACAAAGCAAGGACAGGGGAATAACTGAGTTATTCTGACAGTCTTATGCACAGATTTTGTTTTGTTTGACAGGAATAAGTAAGTTCTAGCCTCTGACTGGAGGGGGGGAAAAAAAAAAGCTTTCACACTCCATCAAACAAGCCTGAGAAATATGTATTTAAAGAAACTGCCACTAACCCATCTCAGCGTATGTAGTAAAAAATAGCATGTGCTGCACTTTACAGCTAGATTTCAAGAAGTAGGTGTTCA